AGTAGTTGCATATTTTAGCTTTGTTGAAATCGTTCCAATCATTTTTATTCATTTCAATTTGTTTTTTCTCAATGTTTGACAAAGCAAGGCATGTTGCAATTAAAGATTCAGTAAACTTTTTAGCAGCATCTTCACCTCTAAATAATTCTACTTTATGCATATTTTCTCCATTCAACACTGTGTAAGAATAACTATTGGCAACATGTTTGTGAGTAACTCTAGTATTNTTCTACGTTGCATTCAAAATCAGCATAAATTCTATAAGGTACTCTCTGAGTTCTTTCTGGATTTTTAAATTTACAAATTGGTTTGTTACCATCTTCATCACACTCTGGTAATATTATCTTTTTAGCATCATGATTCAAACAATCTTGTAAATGTTTAGCTAACTTTTCTTTTGAATCATAGTGATTTAAACATGAATAGCAATAATACATTCTTTTTTTATGTTTTGTACTTTGACTACCCGCTAACCCACTAAAATTCTTGATCCAACAATAATGTGAATTCTTTTCATCTCTAATTAGTAATAAATTGATAGCTTTTTCATTATCCTCAATTGTTTTTAGTTTTTTTGAAATTTTTAACNACATGATAAACATTTATAACCAAGTCATTTTGTTCTTCATATTTACTTATTTGATTAATTGATGTTGGGAAAGATATACCTCTAAAGTTTAATTTATTTTCAAACTTTTTATATTTTGATACTCTTTGAGGATTTTTTTCAGATTTATAAATCGCTGATAATATAGCCCATTTAAAACATTCTTGATCATCATTTTTAACATTGATAACTGCTTTTTTACTTTGAATCCACTTTGGAAGTTCTATGTAAGATGATCCTGTTAATGGCTTATATTCATTTATACTTATTGTCAAAAATTTAGTACTTAAAAATGTCCATCCAGATCCTTTTATTTCTTTAAGTTCAAATTCAATTTTAAGCATCTCAAACAAATCTTTAATAAAAAAGTCTAAATTATCATCAGCTAATAAAATTTGATTACTACTAGATACTGGAAATTCAATTTCCTCATCAGTGTTAATTTTTCTAGCATTTATCATCATTGCAAAACATATTTTTAGATTTTGATTTTGATTATCTACAACTCTTTTTGCATTAATAATATCATAAATTACACCATATGTATCATGATAAAAGTTATCAAAAGATGGTGATTCATACTCGTATGAAACTTGTACTGATGATAATTTTTTTCTTTCAATGAAAATNGCTTCTGGATTTATCTTTTTAGTCTTCATTTAGTAGACTGAAAATTTATAAACAAATTCTTAATCTAATACTTAGTAAATTCTTTTAAACTTTTTATATTTACTAAATGGATATGGATTTAAAAGCAATCAAAAATGAGGCTCAAATAGAGAAACGTTGTTCAACATGTTTATTTCATAAATTTACAAATGAATTTTATTCTGACAAGTCTAAAAAAGATAAATTAAGTAATCAATGTAGAGATTGTATAAAGAATCGTCAAAGACTTAAAGTTGAATGTGAATGTGGAAAAACTATATTTAAACAAGACCTACAAAAACATATTATTAGACCTATCCACTTTAAATGGCTAAATTTTAAAATATCTCAAGAAAGACTTAAAACAAATTAAATTTTACTTTTTTAGAACTTAGTTTTTTATCTCTATTTTTATAGTTTTTTAGTTTATTCCATTTTATATTGGCAAGTTTAATTTCATTCTGATAT